AAATGAGAGCAAAAGAGTGGTTTCCACTAGTGCAATCGATTTCCCTTAAAAACCAACAGGGGCAGAGAACAAAATTTCGCCTCAGCAAAAGCAACGTCTTCCCAGTCACATCACAGTTCAGCGGATCGATCCCACGGTTCCGTGCGTGCCACGGGGTAGGATGTAAAACCGGTGGCTCGTGGATTCCAATCAAGGACCCTTGGGTTCTGCCGTGCCTTTGCAAACCACATAAAAGCAAACCCTGAATTTGGGGCAGATCGGGGGTGGGTCCATGGTGTTGGGAGAAACTGGGCACTTGTCCTTACATTTGAAGTCTAAAGTCCCTACTAAAGACTTTCTCCCTGGCGCATGTATTGACTAGTGGGCTGCAGGCATTCAAGCGTCGGTTTATTTGATTTGGTGCAGTTTGCAGGCTGTTGCCTCATAGATTCTGCCAATCCATATTCTTTGAGCTGGATCCGTTCACAGATGCAGAGAAAGGTCAATTCGCTTTGCTGGGGCAAAGCAACCATTGGGGATGTGCAACCAGGTCCGACCAAGTGGACGGGTTCATGTTGGTCCCCCTTTGAAGTGTGAACAAACCGAAAATGGGAAGGGGCCCATTCTGGCGGCCCCTTCCATCCATCAGGACGGCGACTGGACTGTGCCTCGGGACACCGAACGGGTCCTGCAGCCGCTTGAGCCGCTAGAGATGCCGCACGTGGTCACGGTGGACCCCAAGAAAGGGTGCTGTGACCACCACAACCAAGCCAGAAATCACGCTAAAATTGAGCAATAGACTTCAAACCAGTTCGTACCAGCCGCCATACCGACATTCATACCAGGGGTTCATGCAAGGGGTTCATACCAGGAGCTTCATACATTCGGCTTTCGAACTAGATGATCGGTTTCCCCAAACGGACGTGAGCGAATTGAGTCGTCTGCCTGGAATCGACTACCAGTGGGCCAATGGACACATGGATTAAAGCCTGTGGATTTTTGGTGGTTTCATTTTGACACATCCACATATAAGTCGCTCATTTGATGCCCACAAGCATCAGTCCTGGGTCGTCTTGGAAAAGTCGCTCCCAAGCACAAGCAAAGTGTTTCTTCGCTCCCCCCCCCCAAAAAAAAAAAAAAGAGAAAAGACCTTCCAACAAATATATGGACACTGAAAGAAAACGGGCTTGGTTGATCCGGGGGCAAAAAACAAGCACGGAAAAGGATGGAGCCCACTGAGCAACTATATGTTTTTTGGTAGGCAGTGCTGAGGTTCCCTCCAGCTGGCCTTGAGACCCGTTCGTCCTTCTGATTCCCACGGCTACGGACCATAGCTTTTTTGCACCGACCAGCTTTTTTGGTTCCCCGAAATCACAATTTGGGCATTACAAAAGTCAAAGGGGAGCATCGAGAAAAAAAGAACAAAAAAAGAACAAAAAAACAGGAGAAAAAAACGCAAGCGCCGCTTTTGTGAAGGGCGCCCCCTGCGCTCTGATCGAGTCTTCGAATCATCGCCCTTCGAGCGAGGACCCCGAAGTCGAAAAACGCGCCAGGCGAAATCTTAGGGTAAAACTCGGGCGGTGAGCACGCGCCTTGCACCTCACAGAACACCACCGGAACGGCTACTGATTAAGAAACCCTGTCGCCGGCGTGATACGCCGGCCTCGGGGGTTCGGAGCACACTGCGACCAGTCCCTTTGAGTAAAGCCAAGGTGAGGCTCTGGGGTGGTTCAAACAGCCACGCAAGTGATTTCAGCAAGATTCAGAAAAGAAGCAAGGATGGAGAAGCAGCGGCAATAGGCAAATTCTGAAAGGCGAAACAAACAGTCAAAAATAGTTGCTAACCCCAAAGTGGCTTGCCTGGCAACTGGAACCAGGGACTAAAACCTGCGGTCCAATTCCTGGTTTAATTATGACCCACACCCATTTCGTTGCCACCATTGTCTTCCAAAAAAAGTTGACAGTTCACCAAAGTCACTGGCGAGAAACTCCACCAAGAACAGAATCGATCGGCTCCAACCGTGGTGGCGTCTACGTCATGGAATTCATGAATGCGTCACCGCACGCTATGCCAGCCAAGGTGACCTGGCAAAGAGAGAAAGATGGTAATACCAAGGGGGGCGGACATATCTACACCGTCTTTCATGGCGATGAACTTTAACTGCCCTAGTCGTGGGGTGAAAGGGTTCAACTTCTTTGGTAAGTTGGTGGGTTGGTTGGTGCTTTGCTTTTCGACATGCTTGGATTTGAGTCGGCTATCATGTGTGTGTGTGTGTGGCTTGCATTTTTTGTTTCATTCCGGTGCAAAAAGTCTGATATTTGCCTGGCTTGCTTTGGACTCATATTTTTGGCTTCCTTTCACCGGCATGGCTTTTTGGTTACATTGCCTGAGTCATCTTGGGGCATGGGAGTCGCAATCGAAACATAGTATTAACATGGTCGATCCAAGACCATGCAAAGACTTAAGAAGGCGGCCGCACCTAATTCTGGTTGGGCCTCTGTCCCTAGTATTCGCTTACCCCGTGTTGACTATGGCTCATATGGTCTTTAACCTTTTTTGGTTGGATCGAATCTCGTTTACAAAGGATGCGTGTCAAGCTGTTGACAGTGCTGGCGCCTGCCGGCCGCTTGCCGTAGCTTTCCAGCGGGTGCTGGGTTCTGAGGGTTGTTGTACTACGCCCTGGGAAATGAGAGCTGTATAAACGATGGCTCACAATAAATAAGATGCGAAGACCTTGAAAGAGGAACAGTGCAACCCAGGGCGCACACAACTCCCTCAGATGGTGAACTCGATCTCGCGAGTTCAGCGATAAAAAGGCTTCACCCACGACCGACATGGAACCTGAGGAAAAACAAATCCGCCAAAAAAAAAACAAAAAAAACTTTTTTCCCCAAAGAACAAGACTCCCAGAAGCGAAGCGGAAGTGGAAGGTACCTCAGGTTTCAAACATGAAGCGACAGGTAGTCACAGAGCCAACATCATCCCCAAAAATTGCTTCGTGTGTCAAATGGCTCAAACAGGGGGCATTGCTCACATAAGCCAGTAAACGAGCAACCGCAACTGTCGAAATGCCCCATGTGTCTATTGAAGAAAAGAAAACACGTGCTTAACTCGCATGTTCGGGAGAGGTTCCATGCAGCGTCACATTCGGGCAAGATGTAGCACAGCCGGCAAAACCACAGCTGGAGCATCGAGAACCCACGCGCTCGCGGCCTAAGCTGCGGTCAGGTCGTGTCTCCTGTTGCAGGTGTTGACATCTCCACTTTTCTGGCCGGGAGCGCGGCTGTGATCGGACCGTTTCCAGGCTTGCAGACCAACTCCCATAAACCGCGGGTGTATCGCAAAACTGTGGACCCTTAAATGGGTGGCTTTCCTTCAAAGCAACCCCCAAAAAATGGGTTCAAAAAAAAGAGACACACACTCACATGAAGCCAGTTGGAAAACAGCTTCTGAAAACAAACCAAGGGTTTTCAAACCATTTTACTATGTGAAACAGTGAGCCAGCTCCAACCCTGTTTGCTTTGGAACCAAAAGTGGTCAGTTCCAAAATTGCAAACCAGCCAAGGCATCAAAATATGGTAAGGGGGTCGCCCAAAACCATGCAAGAATGTCAGAGGATTCTTGCAACCATCATGATTGTGGCCGTACCCACTATTCTCCACATACCCAGGCTCTGAGACTAGGTGGGTATTCTCCTCCCGCAGAACATGTTGGTGGGAGGGTACCTGGGGGCCGTTCTGGCAAAGGCAAGATGGAGCAAGTGTCCATTGCCTTTGCTTTTGCCTTCAAACAAGTCTAAGTAGGGGGGCAATTTAGCGGCCCAATCAGTGGACAGGCTGTAGGAACAAATCGGCCTTGGCGTCCCTGCACTTCCATATGTCAATATGACCAGCTACAGGACATTTTACAGCAAACCCTGATTTTTTTGTGGGTAGTTGGCCATTTTCCTCCAGAATTTCCCATAGCTGGTTCCGAGTGTGGCTATTCAGCATCTCCAACAAAAAAATGAGTCTGCAGGTTGGCCTGCAACGAGCCTGGCTGCAAAATGGCGGATAAAATTCGGCCGATGTGTTGCACATGGGCCGTGCTCACAGGTGACCTTTTGGTGAAATAGATGGGTTTCTCTGGTAAATGATTCACAAAACAAATCTATTCTAGTGGAACCCGTCTATTTCTGTCCGCAAACTAACCCATCAAAAGGACACCTACGGTGGGTGGACAGAATCCTGCACCACCATCTCAGCATTGGGTTGCATGCCCTCGCGCTCCCTTTTTAATATTGGGAGCTGAAAACACGCAGAAGGAAAAGAAGTTGAATGGACGAAATCCTGCACCACCTTTACAGCCCATCAAAGCAACATTGAATATGGGGAGCGGGGGGTCCTTCTACACCCTTGTTTAACTCGTTGATTTAAGCGGTGCAGGATTTCGTCCACCCACAGTACCCCGGTAAAGGTGCAGCATCCGATCAGACGGGTTTTGCAATCCGAGGCTTCGACAACGATGTGTCACGAATTTGAAACGCGTTGATATTGGCGACCGTTTTGCGAAATTGAAAAGTGTTGAATTAAAGTCCATACCGGAGTACCACATTTGAAAAGCACCGAGCACACTCAGTAATATGCTTGCTAGAGGGAGGCAAGGGCTTGACAAAGCGGTAGATCTTGAGGCGTCGGAGGAGCATGGTGTGCTCGGATGGCACGCCTTGTGCCCTGGCCACCTCTGCTTTGGGCAATGATGGGCCCCAAGTCTTTCTCGAAGAGCGGAGCCGTGCCTTGTAGAGGAGATGGCCGTTGTACTGGCTGCTGTTCTGTGGAGGGAGCGTGCGCGAGACGCGCCGCGGGCCCACGTCTGGACAAGTCCAGCTGTGGACGAGCATTGCGAAACGCAGGGTGGCCCTTAGCATCCACCTTTCTGGGCTTGTCAGATGCAGGTGCGAGACGCGCCGCGGGCCCACGCCTGGACCAGTCCAGTTGTGGACGAGCATTGCGAAACGCTAGGTGGCCCTTTAGCATCCACCTTTCTGGGCTTGTCAGAATGCAGGTGCGAGACGCGCCGCGGGCCCACGCCTGGACAAGTCCAGTTGTGGATGAGCATTGCGAAACGCCGCTGGGTGGCCCTTGGTGCGAAACGCGCCGCGGGCCCACGCCTGGACAAGTCCAGTTGTGGACGAGCATTGCGAAACGCCTGAGTGGCCCTTGTAGCATCCACTTTGTGGGGCTGTGACGCTGTGATGAAGGCAGGGTAGCAGACAGTTTCAGTGTCAGACACGCGCGCGAACGGACTCACGCACACATGCGCACAAACACCGGGGCGCAACACGCGCTCGTGCGGAGGTGCGTGGGTGCGTACAGTGCACGCGCAGTGCACGCGCAGTGCACGCACAGTGCACGCTGCGTTGCACGGGGTCCAAAGTGCCGCCACTGCCATGTATTTGGCAAACCTGGTGCAGAATTCAAGAAAACTCTAATTTTCTTCTTGTTGTAAATCTGGAACAGAAAGCACCGATCCATGGGTATTTGCGGTGTTCTGTGACGGTGCACTGTGGCGTGCTCTGTGGAGTGCACTATGCGTGCACTGTGGAGTGCACTATGCGTGCACTGTGGAACCTGTGTTTGCGATTGCAGGCCAACGAACGCCTGCAATCAGGCAGCTGGCAGGTGCATCTCTGTCATGGAACTCGTGCTGAAACCGTTGTTTCTTCAGCTCACTGCTTCCGTGGCTGCAGGCTCTGTTACCTGCCCTCTTGAAAGAAGCCACCTTTGGCGGCCAAAACAAGCTGACACCGACGTTTCATGTCACCCATGCTAGCCCGAATAAATGCCGCCGGCAGCTTCTTGGCTGTTCGACGCAGCCGAGCAGCAAACTGTGCGCGGGTCTCTCGCTTGGAAGCCGCCCACTTCCGCTCTTGGCGGCGCATCCGGCGATTGATCTCGCTCCATATGGCATAATCCATAACACTCAAATCCGGGCTCCTGCGCGGGATTTCCAATACATCCAGGCGGGCAGCTCTCTTCGCCGCCACGCCTCGTTTGGACTTGAATCCCGTCGGGTCATTGTCTTCGAGAATGCAGAATCGTCTTTTGGTAGGCCTTTCCCTTTCCCTCTCAAGGCTGGAAGCCAAGCTGGTGTACATAGAAGCAGCAGCTACGCCATTCCAACGAGAATTCCGGACTTGATGCCACATGAGCATTCTACCACGGCCAACCCCAGCAACTATCAAAATGCTGCGGGCACCAGTGTTGTAATTCAGGGTGCCCTTAGGCTTCACATACCCTCTGTCCAGACCTTCGCCCTTCGCCCTGTAAGCGCCAACTGTTGCCCTTTTGGCAGCGCGGGCTCTGGCCTCCCCAGTAAGATTGGCCTTGAAGAATTTCCCATCAATTGCAGCATCAAGACGTTCTGCCCACCAGCGTACTGACTTGGACTTGTATTTGCGCGCAAATGCCAGCCGCGCTTTCACATCAGCATTTGTCAAAAGCGGTTTTTCTCGAAGTCTCCGAAAGTACACTCCTTCCTTGTGCAAGGCCCGCTGGATGCTTTTGACTGACTGTTTCAGATTGCATGCTTTCTTCAACATGGCAGCAGTCACCGTGTAGCGAGCATCTGCCTTCTGCACCAATTCTGTGAGCTTTCGCTTCAAGAAAGCTACCTTGGCAGGAGTAAGCAGGAGAGGCCGCCCCTGGGCCTTGCGCCCAACTTGCTTCACCAAAAGTCGGGTGATGACAGACTTGTCCCTTCCAAGCTTGTCTGCTATTTCTTTACAGGATTCACCATCTTCATACCACTCCGACGCCAAACGAATCTCCTCAGTGGACAGCTTGGTCCAGCCAGCTTCTGGCATGGCTAACACAAGGACTGTTCAACTACACCAGCCAAACAGCTGTCAAGCACAGGAGCAAATCCTGCAAGGAGACACTTGCAGAGATGTGCGCTGCGTGTTGCACTTCTTCTGTCTTCCAGTGTGAGCGCGCACGCATGTATGTGTGTGTGTGCTCTCTGTGTGTCCGGCGCGCTCTCGTTCGACACAAAAACTTGACCAACCCCGACATGCGCACACACACACACACCAATGGCAGACGAGTGAAGGTGGGAGACTCAGATGTGTTGTGTTTCAGGCGCTCTGCAATCATTTGCAGAAGCATGTGGGTGATAAGCAGACGCAGACATTTTGTTTTCACTGTCTCATTGGAGAAACATGTGGATGACAAGCAAAAAGCTCTCCGTGAGACGGTGGGTGGACAGAATCCTGCACCACCATCTCAGCATTGGGTTGCATGCCCTCGCGCTCCCTTTTTAATATTGGGAGCTGAAAACACGCAGAAGGAAAAGAAGTTGAATGGACGAAATCCTGCACCACCTTTACAGCCCATCAAAGCAACATTGAATATGGGGAGCGGGGGGTCCTTCTACACCCTTGTTTAACTCGTTGATTTAAGCGGTGCAGGATTTCGTCCACCCACAGTATGGCCGTGCCTTTTTCCAAAACCGCCGAGAATCTCGGCGGTTCAACTATCGCTTGGCGCCGCCTCACTCCGAGACTCGCCGATATCAGGATGACTGCGGAAAATGGATCTATGGAATGTGTAAACACAGCTGGGTCATAATCAAAACCGATTCGGTCTTAAAATGGTCGACCCAGAGCCAGGTAAAGGTTTAAGGCGGATATCCGCAGCTGGTTGGGATTGTCCCTTACTAACCTTCACTTCGGGTTTTGAGCACGTGACTCACGGGAAGAACTCCAGGTCCCAAGAGGGCTCATACCGTGGATGGTTGCGAGATCCGCTTCTCGCACCACCCAAGGAACCCTAAAATGATGGCTCCCAAACAAAAAATACCAACAAACAAAGGTTTCAACCATGGTTTCAAAGTGGTGCAACGGACTTTGTCCATCCACAAGTGATTTTCCAACACCCCGCATCTTCACGGGGTCCTACATCTCTCGGTTTTACCTGATGTTTGTGTGTGTGTGCATGTCCATAGGTACAAGCATATCACCACGTGTCTGTATATATATATAGATATATATACTCCGGGCACATCGTAGTTCGTTGTTGCGCAGCTTTAGATGCATCACGTATTAGCCTCACTTCCGGAGTGCACTGGCCTGACCAAAATGATCTTCCCAAAAAGTGCCAAGCAACCAGAAACTGGTGAATCGAGCACATGTAGACTCACTGCAACAAGCTCGCCAAACACGAAGGGATCGCCAAGTAAGGGACGTCATGTTTTCCTCAACTGGCATGGACACTTTGTGCATCCCCATGTTCTGATGCTCATGTGGTGAGTGCACCTCTTCACAGCAAATATTAAACCTTGCTCGTGGGGGTATGCTAAAAGTAGCACCCCTCTTGGAAGCAGTCAGGGAATCACAAGGGCGGCACGGCGCCACGAAACCATTTTCTGAGTGTCCGGACTTGTGTAACCTGCCCTAAGATTCTGTGTCAGTCTGCCTGATTGATTGTTTGTCTATCCTTGTCTGTTCGTCCGTTTTCCTATTTGCCTGTTTGTTCCCCTTGTTTGTTTGGTTGCGAAGGGTGTGTTCAACTGCCCAATTGGTTGGCTGTCTCGTTCTTCGGCTCACCAAGAACACCCCCGCGGCGCTCGAGGCGCTCGAGACCTCCGGCGGCGCCGGCGCCGCTGCCGGGAGCGATCTCAGGAGAGCTGCTGCACCATGGACTGCCCGCGGCGCGGCTTGGCGAACAGTCGCCCCCCCCCCCCCCGCACGCCCGCGCGCGGGCGGGGGGGAGAAAAAAAAAACACCACACCGGGCGACCTTTGGTTTTCCCTTGGTCCTTTGAAGCCTGAGAACCTCCGGACGGTCCCGGCCTCCCAAACGTGGAGAACATGAGCACAAGGGATGGACATGCGAACTCCCTGGGCACCAGGAAGTGGAAACCATGGTTTTTTGCTGGTTTCCTGAGAGGATCCTAGAACTGTGGATGGTTGCGAAATCCGTTCGCGCCGCCTAAGGGTCTCATGGTGGAAACAAGGGTCTCATGGTGGAAACCATGGTTCGTTGGTATTTGCTGGGGAATCGAACGATTCCGTTGGGTTTCCGAACGCTGCAGGCCTAGGATGGTTCAGTCAAGCGGACTTTGTTCATAGTCAAGGGCACAATCCAGGACAGTCCCGGCAGTCCCAAACGGTAGAGACCCAAGTTCCATCAGATGCGCCATTCATAGGGCAAATGCAAAGACACTGAGGATCTGGGCGAAAGTTCCAGGTGCAGTTGCCCCTGTCCCCGGTAACTTGCCTTTTCGTTGTTGAAGGGTGGTCCCATTGGGCACATACTATGCGCTATCAATAAATGGTGATCATCAACACCGGGAGTCATGTCCACCAACCATTCGGGAGGGAGTTCCAATTCGACCTCATTCCCAAGTATCGGGAAAACCACTCTATTCACAAGCCGGACATACGGACTCCCCAAGTAAAGGACCTGAAGCACGGCTGAGCGCAAGCCTTTTGTTTCCCCTTTGACTCGAGGTAAGCCCGTGAACTTAGTTTCGAGGTCGAAAAAAACTCAGATCCTGAAAGCACCACTCAAAAAAAAAGCGAGGTGGTAGAATGAATGAATGCCCCAATTGATTTTCCCCGACGCCTTTTCTCCTGGCCCCCCCCACCAAAGACCGTTGCCTGCACAAGACCCTCCTTGTCCAGGTCCTCGCACGCCACCCCGAAGTCTTTCAGCTCCTGGGAGGAGAAAACGACTCCCGAGAGACCTGCCCTTCTAAAACGGGGGGGGGACAAAACCACCCCATGAGGTTGGATTTCAAGCACTAAACCACAACAAGCAAAAATGTAAAATGTGTCCCATTCAACAACCATGCAAAACGGGGGATAAAAAGAAAAGGATAAAACACCCCATCCGGTGCTGTTGGTGTGTTTTGGTGTTTTGGTCAAAGGAAGCAAAACCAGCCGCACCTGTTTTGGTGCTTTGGGGCTTTGATTGGGTTTCAAGGTTTTGAAGCAACGCCTTAATGGCGAAACGTTTTACCAAGGTGCTTGCCAGACTTC